TAGCCATTATTATGAGCAACAACTGCTTGGCCCTGCCACAGGGCTGTCCAAGATGCATTTGTGTAAGCTGCAATTTGGCTATTACGTTAATTAAGTGCTGCTCAGATATCCTTTTAATTAGCCAATAGACATGACACAGCTACAACTGCCGGCTGATTTATGGCCAATGCATTATCAGTGCCGGCCTGTTAGCCTGTGTGCCTATGTAAACGGGTTTCTCTCTCTTGTATGTTTTTGTTTCTTGTTTTTTTTTTTTTTTATTTATTTTTAATGAGCTTCCATAAATCAGAGTGAAGCGAACCTTAACCTGTTCGGCCGGCTGTTACAGGTTTTTACTGTAGCAGCCATCCAGCATGTGCATAAACATAGATTTTCCCGTTGTAACATAGCTGGGTTCTTCTACGTTACGTATACGCATAGCTGTCCCCACTATGTGTGTGTGTGTGTGTGTGTGTGTGTGTGTTTGTATTCTGACTATGAAACAGTAGCAGAGGTAGCAGCAGCAACAACAACAACAGCGACAACTTGAGACAGAGAACGTAACTGAATACCGTTGGCAAAAAGGGCGACAGACTTTATTCAGGCGAACGACAAGAATTATCTCTTGTAGCAAAGTATCGCATTTCGTGAAACTGAGAGCGAGCGAGACAGTAGACGGCAGCGACAAGGGCAAAGTACAAGGACAAGGACAAGTTTCGGTGTTTGCATGGAGCGACAGCTGCAGCGGCTATGCTTTATTATAGACATTGTTGTTGCTCCTGCTGCTTCTGCTGCTGCTGGTGCTGCTGCTGCTCCTGCTGCTGCTGCTGCTGCTGCTCCTGCTAGACATACGCAGGCAAATGCATTTATTGAAGATGGCAACAACTAACAAAAACAAGATTAAATCAAGTGTCCTTGCTGACTGACTGACTGACTGACTGGGTGAGGGAGTGGTTGAGTGAGGGGAGCAGAAAGTTGGCTCGGCTATATTCGACAGCGTGCAAAACAATTCAACTGAGCATATTCATATGCTTCAGCTTGACTTTGACTTTTTCGTTTTCATATGCTCCCAGTTGGGTTGCGGAGGATTTTCGTAGGATGCGCCCTGGCAGCAAATGTCGCACGCGACACGGCACAAGCCAAAAGTTTGCCAGCGTTGTTTGCGTTTCGAGTTAATTTTGCACGCAGACGTCCTTGACAGGATGTCGTATGGCCAGGCAAAAGTGCACACAGACAGCTGCTGCAGTCAGCTACTTAAGTAGATGCAGTATATATATATATATGTATAATATGTGTGTGCTTTTTGGCAGGGGTAATGAAAATTTCGTAGAGCCAAGGTCTCAAACTCATTAAATAGATGCCAGCTAAGCCAAAGTTTTGCTTCACTGACTTTAAACTTATGGCGCATAAGTCAAGCAGCTGTGTAATTCACACACGCACACACACACACACACTGGCACTTATTGAACTACAGCAATCAAGCTGGCAAGCATAAACAACATGACTGCCAATCCAATCCGCAAAAGGCAACAGATACCCAGCCAAAAAGCAATCATCAACTCTAGACGCTGCCTTGTGATTTAACGCTTGACTGCATTGCACGACGAATGAGACTCGATTGTTGACACACAAACACACACACACTCACTTGGCTCGATTTGCTATTATATCTTATCAGAATTTATATACACATCTACTCTAAAGAAACAAGAGTGAAGAGCATTAATGCAGCGCTCGGGGAATACAAATTTCGAATTCAACTATTTTGAGTAGGTCTGCAAAATGTCCGCAATGCCTATGCGAACTCAAAGGATATGCAGGATGCGAGGTGTTGTTTACCATTAGCAAAACACTAAATTAGGCTTTCCTGCGCCGCTCTTCCTGTTGATCATGCGGCTGGGGCGTTGAGCGTCAATTGCCTCCACTCAACAGACGCACTTGCTCTCGCTGCCTCTTTCTCTCTCTCTCTCTCTCTTTGTCTGTCTGTCTGTCTAACTATCTGGCTGTTTGCCGGCTTGTTTAGCGCTTGTTTGTTGTACGTGTCGCTGCGGCGTTGTACGCACGTAAACGATTCCAAGTATTTATTACGCGCACAACTTGACATAATTCCTTTTTTCCGCTCTGGCAGTTGAGCCAAAGCTCAACCGAAAGCCGCCCCAGCCCATAGGCAGCGCTCATAGCGAGGGGAGCTCTGCTACTGCAGCAGCAGCAACGGCAACGGCTTTGGAGTAAATGCCACTTTAGTCTACTGGGCTGGGCTCTCGATTGGACTTGGAAGTTGGGCTGAGCAGGCGAGGAGAACAGCTCGATATGGATTTATGGAAGTTGTGCGTGTGTATGCGACTTGCATTACGCGCTCATTGAGGGCGTTCAATTGCCATCAGCATCAGCACCATCATCATCATCATCATCATAATCAGCAACAGCAGTGTTACACATTATCGTCATTATCTAGATTATTATTGAGCACAAGTGGGGCTCGAGCTCGAGTGGGAAAATGAAGCAAGCTTTGACTTAAGAACTTTATCTATGAACCCACCAAGCATCACATTTGTCTCATTCTCTGGCCATGTCAATGGGATTTCTTAGCGCATTAGGCAGCAACAATAACAACAACAATAACAGCAAACAAACAACGTTAACGGGCAGCAAACTGTTGGCCAAAATGACGGCAACCGTCGCCACCATCAACGCGAAAATAATACGAAAGAAAATATATACGAAAAGTGCGGCGTTAATGGCAACCCAACTGGGAAAGAGCGCAGCGCATGTGAGGGCAAACGATATGATGATTATGATTATTATGTTGTTATTAGATTAAGCGTAATTTTAACTTTTTTTTTTTTTTTTTGGTTTCTGTTTTCGTGCTGCTGCTGTTGCTGCCCCATTTGCTTTTGTTCTGCTCACTTCCGATGGCATTGTTAAGTCGACTTCTTCTCTTTTTCTTGTTTTTGGCACTGCGGCACTTCCGTTTGGCTTTGGCTTACGACACGACACTTGATGCCCCAGTTGGCCATGTTAGCAAAGTTGCCTCAAGTGTACCCAAGCGCTGGCTAAGCAACCAGGCAATGACCGTCCATTGTTCCAAGCTGTGCCTGCGTCTTGGCCACGCTTAATTGGCTCGCTTTTATTACTTGCCAAGTGCGGCTGCACAGTGTGCGCATAATTTCTACAAGGCCTGGTACAGTGGGCGAATGTCATGAATTTATGAGCTCATCATTTACTCGATTTATTGATGGAAACTTCACCTTAGTGTAACTTAAGATTTGAGTAAGGCTTGAGTTTATTTTACTTTCTATAGATATCGATTAATGATAGTATATGTAATATACTATATATGTAATATAAAGATCATGTTCAGACAGCTTCACACCAAATTGCCTGCTCGATTTGCTGTGATCTTCTTTGAAATGGATTTAGAGATCAACTGATCAGCTCTCACCTTTTGGTATTAGACTGTTATTAGCACCTACTTTGATAGCATTTCCTTCGAAGCTGGGTCTTTCAATTGCCTTTTGCTTTAGCTGCCCTCGACCCAATGTGACGCAGGGCAAATGAAATCTTTTTTTAATTAAATGAGCTGGCTGCATTTGAGGGGCGTTGCTCCGTTGCTCCGTTGCTCCGGAGTCATGCTGGCTGTTCAGTGTCTGCCTGTGGCTGCTCACATCGCACCTACACAATCAGCCACACCCACTCACCCACCCACACACACACACACACATTTAAACAGCGACGCGTGCCGGCACGGTTCAGTTCGGGCCTTTTTTTCACTTTGGTAGTTTGTGGCGCCATTTTGGCGCGAAATGAATTTAAATTGTTTGCCGGCGTTTCCTGTATTAAAGGCAGCTTCCTTTGCCTTTGGAGTTTTTCTTTCATTTTTATATTCACTTGCACCTTTTCGTATTCGTTTTCGTTCACGTTCGTTCTCACTGAGAGCAGCTAGAAACGGAATTACTTAATTATAACAATTATTAAACAGCAGCCGAAAGGTCTGCCTTTACTCAGATAGTCTTGGCAAAAAAAAAAAAAAAAAAAAGAAAAAAAAAGAGAGAGAGAGAGAGAGAGAAAAAACTGCGCGTGTTTCCTGTTGCTTTTGTTATTATTGTTTTCGTTTTGTGTTTTTGCTGTTTTTTCTTCGCTTTTCTGGGCGCTTTTGTTATCATGTTTGTTGGCTGGCTGCTATTTTAATTAAATATTTTCACACCTACTTCATTTGCGCCTGGCTGGGACGCCGCGACCAGACATTCATTTTATTGCCAGCATCTTGCTTTGGCCTTTATGTAGGTGTTAATTTCCTGTCTCCAGGCAACGGCAAAGGACAGTCGGCTTAAGCAAGGGCAACGCAACAACAGCAACAGCAACAGCAGCAGCATCAGCATCAGCGAGTATCTTGAATGTCGGCTCTAATAAGAATAATTGCCAGTAGTAGCTATAAAGCACGTTGACTGAAATTTTATGCTCCGGAAAATTGCATGCGAAATAATTGAAAAGCATCGAGTCGAGTTTTTGTCCCGTTTTGTGAGGCAGCGCTGTTGCTCCTTGGTGCATCCTGCGGCACTTGCAACAGCAGCAGCAGATAAAGTTTTCCACAGCGCTGAAATAATAGCAGCCAAAGTGGTTATAAATATTTTGTGCACAGTTTCTGTTTTGCCCTCTGGCCAGTTTTGTCCTTCTGCTTGGCGCTGCAGCGAAAGTCATTTTTCAGCTAAATGAATTTGCACAAGTTGCGGGCAAAATGCGCAAAAAGAAGCAAGAACAAGAAAAAAAAAGAAGAAAAAAAGAAAATAAAAACTAACTGAAATGAAAAGAAATTTCAAAAGTGGCGACGCTCCTTGGAATGCGCCATGTCACTGGACGCCAACTGCGGTCGCTGGCGAAGTCAGCAGCGTATCTAATGAGGCGGAATCGGTTGACCTTAAGACACTAGCTGACGTTGCCTTTTGCAGTTAACTGCAGCAAAAAGTCGAATATGAAAACTTTACCAATTCGCCACTGACGACGAAATTGCATTTCAATTGCAGGTCCACCAGGTCCACCTGGACCGCCCGGCAAGCGAGGGAAGCGCGGCAAGAAGGGCGACCCCGGCGAGAAGGGCGAGGCGGTAAGTGCTCAATGGAGACCCGAATGGCAACTCCTAACGGCAAGTGCTCAACTTTTTTGTGTCCCAGGGTCTCAATGGCATCAGCGGCGAGAAGGGCGCGGCCGGCAAGCCCGGCGACAAGGGCCAAAAGGGCGACACCGGCCATCCGGGCGTCGACGTCTTCCAAACGGTGAAGGTAAGTGGAGAGCGCGGATTCACGCAAATCGGCTGCTGCTGCAAATCTGCATACGAAATTGGATGCTCAAATTCCGAAAATGTTATATCAAAAGAATTGTGTTTTCTATTTCTTATTTCCACTTTGTTTTTCTGCAAATCTCTAACCAAAATGCTCTGCTCTGCTTTCTCCGCATTCGCATTCTCTGCAGGGCCTCAAGAGATCGGTGACAACGCTGCATGGCGGCACCCTTGGCTATGCGGAAATCGTAGCTGTTAAGGTATTTCTCAGTCATAAATACGTTTCAACTGCCGTACATTAGATCTGACAACCAGCTCCCGCACCCCCGCGTAACCCTAATCCTGCTCCCAACCCGCTACCGCCTGGCCTGGCCATGGCCGTATCTCAGGGCAAACAGCAGTCGGACAGAGAGTTTGCAAATATTTACAACTTGTTGTCCACTGCACTTGTCTTTGTCCTTGTAGCCGTAGTAGTAGTTGTAGTAGTTGTTGTTGTACTAGTCGTAGTTGTTGTTGTTGCTGTAGTTTGTATACGGTTTTGTTTATTATCCTGCTCATTGTTGTTCGTAATGCTTTTAACTTGACTCAGCTCTTCGGCTTAAACTGCACCATAAATTTGTAGCTACTTCTGCATAGTTTCTGCTTAGTCATTTTGTTGCATTGAAATACCAGACGGCCATCCTTTATAGCGTATCCTTTGGCTGTTTGAACTGTCGCAATGGCATTTTTATCGTCATGCTGTCATGTACACTCTTGTTTATTTTTATGGAAAGCTCTTTAATTTACATACTCGTATTTCATGCCAAGCCACACTTCTGATTTCGTATGTAATTAATATAACGGTTATTACATTTCATTTGCATATTCCTTTATTTAAATGCATTATTTATGGCGAGTTGCCAAGTTGAGTCAACAAGCACAGGCGATTTTTGCTTTGGTTTTTGCTTAATGGTTTAGAATATTATTAAAAAAAAAAAATAATAATAATACAAATAATTTGATTACATAATTTGGTATTATCTACTTAATCTTCTTTTTGCTATTTATTTGACTTAAATTTACTTTTTTAGTACAAATTGAATTTTGCTTTGCAGCAGCTAAGGTTTATATTTATTTATTTTATTTTATATTTTGATTAAAAAATTTAACATTTATTTTTATTATTTTCTAATACTTTATGGTTAATTTAATGTGTGTTTGGTTTGTAAGGACTTGCAAGAAGCGGGCGTTAACGTCTCCGCTTCGACGGTTATACAGCTAAAGGTAAGTGCTGAGGTCCTTGGCTAATATCCTTTTAGTGTAATGCATGCCTCCTACTATGTGGTTTCATCTTTGTTTAATGCACGTGCCTATCCATTTATGCGGAAGATCTGTCGATGCCTGGACAAACTAATAAACGTATTTCTTTCAATCGACTAGGGTGAGCCGGGCGAGCCTGGTCCGCCGGGACCGCCGGGAGAGCCGGGCGTTGCGGGCGTGCCGGGCGAGCGTGGACCACCAGGCGAAACTGGACCGCAGGGATTACAAGGTGAGGCCGGACAGCCAGGCCCGATTGGACCGCCCGGTGTGCCCGGCGCACCTGGCATAAAGGTGAGTGATTCACACAAAACAAAAACAAAGAGAGAGAGAGAGAGAGAGAGAGGGAGAGGGTGAGGGATGGAGGGAATGATAGGAATTCGAAACGATTCATAAGTAAAACAAAGATGTCACAAGGATTAATGCACTATTTGTATCTGTTGGATAAACATTGTGACGTTTTAAGTGAGTCGTCCTCACGTATCTGTGTGTGTGTGTGTTTGTGTGTGTGTGTGTATCATTGTGTGCTGTCTGGCTTTGTTTTTCCGCTTTGCCCATTGTCTTTTTCTCGGTTTTCCACATTATTTATCGTTTATTTATGTATTAAGCGCCCCCTCTCTGTCTCTCCCTTTATCTCTCTCATTCCCTCACCCTTGTCACCTTTTATTGTCCCTCTTGCTTGCCATTTCCACTTAATTTTCCAAATTTTCCAAAGCCAAACATCAATACAGATGCAGCCCTGTGACTCATTGATACGTTTGCTTCTCGTCTCGTTTGCAGGGCGACAAAGGCGATCGCGGTGATCGCGGACTCACCACAACCATCAAGGGTGACGAGTTCCCAACGGGCATCATCGAGGGTCCGCCGGGACCGCCCGGACCACCTGGTAAGTGTCAGAAGAGAAGGAAATCTCTAGAGGGGCAGCTGACCCTCGGTTCGAGAGCCACTTAACTCTCAGAGTTATAGATATACATACATATATACACATACACATGGAGACTAGTCGTAAACTACGTTAAGCGCAGCTTATTGATGTTTGGGAATCGATCGATTCGATGGGTTTTTCAAGTGTTGCCACGCGGCTGCTGCCATTGGCTGGTGGCTCATCTGCGGGTTGTTTAATTTATTGCCAGCCGTCTATGGGAATAACGTGTGTGTGTATGAGTGTTGGTGCGGCCCCTGGCCCCAGCCTAATTGAGTCATTCACTAGCGCTGTCCCATTACAGCGCGTTTTGGATTTTGATTTCGATTTTCGGTCTTTCGGTGTGAAAAGCAGCTCGTTAAAATGTAAATCAAACACCAAAATGCACAGCTTCAAATGCGCTGCATGCATTTCCGCTCGTCGTTGTTTTTATAGCCGCACAAATTTTTGAAATATTCTCGTTTGGTTTTTTCTTTTTTTTAGTTTTAGGTTTTTCTTTTTTTTTTTCATCCACATTTGGAAATTTGTTTGCCTGCCGTATTTGCGATAACATTTACGACCTTTGTGTTTTGTGTGCTGCCACATGCCGCAAAGTTTTGACGTCGACGTCAATTAAATGCCCCACAATTCGTCGAGGCGGCAGACGCCCCAACCGGCATACGGCCACACGCCCACACACCCACACACCCATACGCCCACAATAGTAGAATTTCCATTTGGTCTCGGCTTTTACGATCTGACCTAACATATTTCTGCACTTTATGCGATTTTAATAAACGAAAATAACCCAAGCGGACGGCCGTACGAATAGTTGAAACGCTCGGGCATCCAACTCGAAATCCAAATCCAAATTCGAATTCGAATCCGAGTCCGGCGTTTGTCATAAAAATTTGTAGACCCGGAGAGCTTGAAACACTTACCGCAGTCGTAAAAAAGCAACTTTATGTCATTTATGTTGCTTTTAGCGGCTCATTAGCATCGCTACTCGTTCCATGTGGCGTTCCGTTGCTCAAGGCACGCATCGCCGCAATGTGGCATGCAGTATGTAGCATGTAGCATCCAGCATGCAGCATGCAGCATGTGGCAAGAGTTCGTGTAATTACCTTTGCCCCGACTCGCTTGCTCTCTGACCAATTGTTTTATTAGGGGTCTTCAGTGCGCGCAGTAAATAAACAATAGTCATGCATTAGACGGCGCAGCCACAGACAGATACATTCATGAGAGCCGAGTCGTAAATGTCAGCTAAGTGTGCGGCTATAAAGAAAATAAATTCCTGTTTTGATGAGCAAATAAAATGCCAGCTTTGGTAATCCTTTAAGAGCCCCAAAGACCTTGAACAGTTCTATTCCATCTTCGTTAAATATGCTTATATGCATTTCGGGCTGTTGAACAAGTCATAGAGTCTGAAAGGTTCCTGAAACAGATTTATGAGGCACTTTGGAAAGAACTAGAAACATATTGTTATAGTAGATCGGAGTGTGTGCTTCAGGTAGATAATATTTACATGTTGTCTATAAATAAGTAATAAGATAAGAGCAACAAAGTAGAATGAAATATCTTAAGTAGAGCAAAAGTTTCGGAGGATTACCCTCAAGTTAGGATTTTCCTTGCAAAAATATAGCCAGTCGAATGTAGACAGCCCTATAGAGACATATTTTTATAGTAGATCAGAGTGTGTGATTCAGGTGGATAATATTTACATACATAATATTTAAGCTAGCAAGTAGAATGAAATATTTCAAATAGAGCCTAACTTTTTGGTGGCTTCAACTCAGAAATTCCCTGGTTTTCTGCTTACCAAACAAATCAGGTTTGGCCTGAGCCTTAATTATTATCAATTACAGTTGGTAAATGACATTGATAGCTGCTCATTGCCTTGCCGTACTGGACAGCTTCCATTAGGCGCTTGAGGCTCTTAAGTATTCGATGTGCTCATCTAATAGCAGTTGCAGTAATGAAGCAAAGATTAAATTTTCTCTCTCTCTCTCTCGAATACCCCTAAAGCGTGTGACCAGAGAGCATTTACTATCGATTCAGCGCTTGCAATGACCCGCAGCGCGCAGCCTCCCACTTGCCTTATCAGAGCATCAGCATGATGTTGTTGTTGTTGTTGTTGTTGTTGTTGCTGATGTTGTCACAGTTGTTCGCTGCAGTTGCGTTAATGTTGCGCGCATTGTTTTTTGGGATTTGTAGCTAGTTGAAAACAAGATCTGCTGCTGCGATAGCCAGAGTTGCCGACAGCCAAAGCAGCAGCAGACCCTTGTGCATGGCCCACGGCCACCTCCCTGACCGGAGACAGTTCTATGAGCGCGCTGGGCTGTGCGTTGATGGACATGAAATTGCAATTTATTTTACGAAATCAGCGTCAGAATCGAGTCGCCAGTCGCTCATGGGACATGCGTCAGGGTCTGGTTCTGATGCTGGCTCTGCCTCTGCCTCTGTCTCTGGTTCTGCTTCTGCTTCTGACTACGGCTTCAGTCATTTGGGCTTGATTTGAATAAATTGAATGTCATTTGTATTTGGAATTCTTTCAGCTGGTCGCCACGTCTGTCTGTGACTCTCTGATTTTCCCTGTTGACTGCTTATCTTATCGTTGTCGTAATTAGTTAAGCTGACTTGTGCTTTATGTGTGGGCAGGCACTGAGCTGGAGCTAAGGCTGTAGCTGTAGCTGTAGCTGGACCTGGGAGACGTTTCGACAATTTAATGTGTCATTTGTATTTTGCGTCTCCAGATGAGAGCAGGAAATGCTGGCAGCATCGGCAGTTTCAGCAGCACCAGCTGCTCCAGTCCCAAATGTAATATCAAAATTTTCAATTTATTTGCTGATTTATTTGAATTCCATTTGAGTTCCTATTTTGATTGCATCTCATCCGGGCAGCTCCGCTCGGCCAAGCTCTGCTTTGCTTGGCCAGCGAAATTAAAACTTATCATTTGCACTTCATCTGCATTGCCTTTTTGCTGAAAAGGCCAACAAGGGAATATAATAGCAAACAGAGCAAAAAATACCAAAATGAAATGGGAAACTCTGAAGGCCAGACCAACACAATCCAATATCCTGGACTCTATAAATCCACTTCAGAGCCCGCGGAGCTGGACCACGCTGTCGTCGGGCCGTTGGCAATAGTTTTGATTATGGCTGAAATTGTCGCCTAAAATGCTTAACGTTAAATTATGCCGCCATAAATACTTACCGAGTCCGAGTCCGAGTCCGAGACCGAGACCGTGACCAAAACAAAGAGGACCAGCAAAATATTCATTCTAAATAAACAACAGAGGACAGTGCACAGAGGCAGAGGCAGAGGCAGCAGCAGTAGCAGAGGCAGCGGCAGAGACAGCGGCAGAGAAGCCATAAACCAAACGCCAGCCGGACTGTGGGCAGGCAAATTAATGCGCACTGGCCAGGAGGCGAGAGTCCTGCCAACTCAACTCAACGACCCGAATCCCGCCCTAAAAGCAATTTTACGAACTTAATAAATTTTCTATATCTCTTCATGCAAACACACACACACTCACACACACACAGGCATGTTTTGACAAGCCACACACAATTGGATCTATGATATGAATTCTGTATGCATGTAAATACAAATATATATGTGCTGGTATATGCACTGGTGTATGTGTGTGTCGTGTGTGTGTTTTGTCTATTTATTCGTCTGCCTATGTGTGTGTGGACTGTATAAATGGTCACATTTAATGGCTTTAGTCAAAACAGACAATTTCTCATTATTTTCGCTAAACAGGTCGTCACGTGGTTGTTGTTGCTTTTGTCTCGCTGTCGCTGCACAGTGGAGCAAAGTGAGTGTACTGCTGATAGATTTACGGCTAAATATTTCTTCACTCTTAAGTTGAAGCCAATGCGAAGCACTAATTGAATGACTATGCCAATCTGTCTGTCTGTCTGTCTGGCATTTCACTTGCAAAATGCCTATTGATTATTTTTCCTGGCGCATCTGTGGCACACAAATTGCAATTGCTGCTGCATAAATAAAAGCAGAGGTATCTGTGTGCGCTGGCAAATGGGTCAAGTTACTTGAAAGCCACACGCTTCATTAGCATGGATCGAGCTGCTGTCAAACGAGCCACTGTTGGCTTTTGGGCAGTTTATTTTTTAGCAAATAAACAATTTGCATTTTCAACTTGAACCGAGAGCCATCAAAAGCAGCAGAAGCAGCAGCAGCAGCAGCTACGATAGTCGCTTATCGCAGCAGCAGCAGGACGAGGAGCAGCAGGATAAATTGCTGACCGAAAACCCATCAAACGCTTGTTGACTGACAGATGAATGGTGACAGGCCATCGAGCGATGATAATAACGGGTGTAATTACAAAGCTGTGCCACAGCCCCGCCTACTATTTGCGCCGCACTTGTCGCACAGCGCGTGTCGGTGTCAATTAAGTTGTACACTTCAAGAAATATTTACATACATTAAATCAAGTTGTTATTTATGTATGAGGATGTAGATGCATATGATAAGAAAACATGTGGGGAAATGTAATAGAAATAAAATATATACACAGCCATATGTTGTATGGCTAGTGATGTATACCAAGCATGCGGGTATTCATGACTACGCAATACACGCCTCGATTGATTTACATTTTACAAATTTATATTACGTTAAATATCAAATAAAGTCTGTTGAATATATGTATGCATATATATATACATATATATAGGTTTCATTATCAGAATGTGTATCGAATTTTATTGGTTATAAATATTGTGGAATAAAAAATAGAAATTTGTGATTTATCCAAAATAATTATATTAATAAAATATATATATTTTTTGTAAAATTAATTTTTTATAATTAACTCGAGTTAAATCATGAAAATAATTTATAATAAAATGAACATAATTTAATAACTATTATTTTCTGAATTATTTATATATATTTGCCTTACAACAAACATATTCTGTAGCTCGACTATTTCTCCAAGTGTATGTGTCTATTTATGTTGCCTGAATTGTGTGCTGTTTGTGCTATTTGAAATCATTCGCTTTATATGCCAAATATTAACATTTACAGGCCCGCCCGGAGAGCGAGGTGAGCCCGGCCAGATGGGACCCATCGGACCGGCCGGACCGCCGGGCGAGAAAGGACCACGCGGCAAGCGGGGCAAGCGGGTGAGTGTTACAGCAAACCGAATAACCAATGCGAAAACTCGCTTTGCAGTCAATTTTAATTAGAAAACAGCGTCGACTGCAAATTAAGTGCGAGCGTTAAAAAAAAAGCAGAGAAAGATAATAATAGAAAATCGTAATGAAGAAAATTTATGAAAATGTAAATTGAAGTGTAAGTCTCTGTAAAAATGCGTGGAAGCGTAACGCTCATTTGCATACTCGTTGAATTAATCTGTAAATATTTTGTAAACACGTCGGAGAGTTACGCAACCTGTATATATGAATATATATATATATATATATATGTGTATATATATTTGCGGCGCATCCGCATCCTTTTGGCATGGCCGGGCACGCAGCGCCACCTGGCGGCTACCTTGCATGCTTAATATGTACATAGCTAAATATACGGCTAGATCTATGAGAGATATATGTATGCATCCTTGACTCTGTGATATGAGCATGTTGTCCTATGCCCCATTCCCCTCAAGGAGCCACTCGCTCCACGCCCCACTAAAACCCATTACAGTTCCAGACATAGATGAAATGCGTTTGATTAGCCCCTCAAGTATCTGCCAGATACGCACGCTAAATAGGTGATTGCGTCTCGGTGCCTCGCGGCGCCCCAAACTATGTCGCCGCACTTTGACGCCTCGTCGAAATTGTCAAAAATGCGTCGGCTCTTAAGTCAGCTGGTTAATTTATACGCCTCGGCGAGTATCCAGCGCATTTATCTAGGCATTTGTGCCGTGCGTGTATGGGTACGTTCTCTGGAATGTCAACAGTGCAAAGATACTTAACATTTTTATTGGCACTTGGTGAGTCCGGGCGGCAGCTGTTGCCGCCCCGTGACGTGCTGATGGATGCACGGAGAGCATCAACGGACTCTCATATTTTGCAAAACACTGCTGCTGTATATAAATACACACGATGGATAACAGCCAGCTGAGGATTGAGTGTGCGAGCGAGAGAGACGGAGAGGTAGACGAAAGGGAAGCTGGAAGCTGGCATGAATATGTATCTAGAACGTGTTTGTGTACGTTATGAAAAATGCATAAGCGCCGCTGGCAAAGGAAAACCGGCGGGGGGAGCGATAGCATTTGCTGCTTCTGCTTTAACCACTCCACGAGCATATTTGCGCGTTTTGCCAATTTTCCTAAAAATAGTCTGATTATTGTATAACACATACACACGCACACATATATATACTTAACACACACACATAGAGTGCGGCGCTGAGTGGCAAATTCATATAACACGCCTTTGGCCAACTGCTGTTGGCCCAGTCATTGGCATGGCCATTGCTGTTGCTTTTACTGTTATTGTGGCTGTCGCTGTTGCTGCTGTTGTTGTTGTTGTTGTTGTTGCTATTGTTGTTGTTGTAATAACGCGTAATAACACAACAGCGGCAAAGAGCGTTCAAACAAAGTTCCAATACAAGCAGCAGTCAAAGACCAAAAACAACATCAAGTGGCAGTGGCAACTGGAAACAACGTGCAGCTTGGTTTTTATGACTTCTGCGTCGATTCGCCTTGGATTAATCGAGAGTTGTTCTAGTAGTTGTTGCAGCTGAATGAATTGATTGATATAATAAAGATTCAAGCTAATATACCTACATTCTCATCAGATTTGAGCTGAGAAGTGAAATATCAGAGATGATATTCTTTGCGAATTCCAATAATTTTGATCATTGATCAGCAAATCGAAATTAGTTAGTGAGTGTCTAAATTTAGTATTCAGTCAGCTATTCAGATTCAGAAAGGCAGTCAGTTATTTAGTCAGTTATTCAGTTCGCCATTCAGTCAGTCTTTCAGTCAGTCATTCAATCAGTCATTAACTCAGTCATTCCTTCCGTCAGTTATTCAGGCGGTCATTCTCTTAGTCATCCAGCTCTCTCTGTCATCCAGCCTGTCACTCATTCAGTCATTCATCCAGTCAGTCATTCATTGGATCTATCTCACATACCAACCATAACTCAATTTGATTTTTCTGGCTTTTCTAGTTTCTCCTGCATAACTTTCGTGGCTCCCCTCGTTGTTAGCTTCAGTTGCGTTTAATGCATGCCGCGCCTCCTGCCACAATATTTTCAATGCTATGCGCACTCGTGCCATGGTGCTCGAATGTGCCGATTACATCGCCCGGCTCTCTGCTATTGCTGTTGTTGCTGCTGTTGCTGCTGTTGCCCGCATTGGCCGTGCCCCGCGCCTACGCGGCAGCAACGTGATGTCAAAACAAATGAAAGTCATGAGAAACGGCAGGCAGTCGCAGCTCCCTGGCTGCCTTCAGCAAACAAACAAAACTTTTGGCAACAAACAAAAGTTTGGCTCCTTCCGCGTGCCGCCGCCCCCCGCGAGCCGCACAGATTCTCGGCTCAGGCCGTGCCACACCGAGGCAGTGTTCAGCATAAAAAATTATTTGCAACAATTGCCATCATCTTCGATGAACGCTAGGCTGGGTCCCAGCTCCTCCGACTCCTACTCTGACTCTGGCTATGGCTATGGCTCTGGCTATGACTCCGACTCTGGCGCTGGCTTTAGCTTTGGCTCTAGCGAAACGTGACGGCTCCCGGCAGCTACGACAAGGCGGGGCGTCGATTTTTCAATTCGGCTATCAGCGGCTTTGATTTTCCGAGGAAAACCTTTCCAAGCCGTAACCCAGGCATTTCAATGAATGAAAATGGGAATGGGAATGCGAATGTGAATGTCTCTGATGATGATGCGAAACGTTGAGAAATGATGCGCCTCGTGTGCCACATTTCGACTTTAACACATTCGCTTAGCAGCCAAATAGGAAAATTGTGTACAAGTTTTTCTTCTTTTGCTTTGCGTTTTCTTTTTCTTTTCTTTTAAATTTGGCGCGTTGCTTGCATTAAAAACTCTTGTAATTAGTTCAGCAAGTCGTAAAAAATGCTCAAATTGTTTTGGAAAACATTTATCCGTCTAGCGCTATAGAGCCACACCCCCCATGGCTTTGCATCTGGCAATAAGTCTATAGCCGTACAATGGCAACGATTTCGACTCGTTTTATATGCGTACTCTAACCGAGGGTATCTTAGCTCTAGCCAGGCGTTAGCAACAAGAAACTTCCCAGACTGCCCATGCAGTGGAAGGGTATTGGGTCTTCGGCATGGTTAGCCGAGCTACGGCTTGATTATTGCCTTTTTTCTTGCCGCGTCTGTCGCGTCGGCTACGGCCATAAAAAACGCAATTGTAGGCATTATAAATTTGACATGTTATTTTCGTCGCCTCGTCAGAATAAAATGTTCGCATGAGAATGTTGCGTCATTTGCTTGCTGGGCCGCAAGGCGGGAAGGCGAGAAGGCGGGAGAGGGCGACGTTGGCTTAGCATATATGAAATAAGCATATGAGCAGGAGGCGGGGCAACAGGGCCGGGTGCCCAAATGAGCTGCGATGTGATGGAATTATGCTCTGAGCAAACCTGAGCATTGCGACAGACATGTGCCCGTTGACATATAAGAAAACTCATTTATGGATCTGCGGATGAGTTATTGATGTGTAAATTCAAATTAAATGCCATTCGAAGCGAAACAGAGATAAAAGTATTTCGGAACTCAAGAAATTTAACAAGCATCTATTTTACTATCATATACATAATTTGTTTAGGTTTGTTCATTGCTTATGAGAATAAATTATATATGTTTATTGCTTTGTCTATAAAAATAATTGCCCAACTTGATGTAGTCTGCCAATCTGATATAGTATGGTGAATATGCCTAGAAAACTAAATAATTTTTATATAAATTTACAAATACTAAAGTCTGTTTCTGTTGGCATTTCGTTCTGTTTTGATAAATAGAAAATAATGTATATGTTTTTTTTATCACCAGGAAATCTTAATGGGAAACGATATTGTTTTATCATATTTGACAGTTCGATTGATTGTAAATTGAAAGATTCATCTTAAACAATGCATCACCGCAAAGCTGGCTAATCAATTGGCTTTATTGCCTTATGTCGAGGCAATTGCAAATGGACTCTTCGGAATGAATTCAGCTGTGTGTTTGCGTATTTGGGCGCTGGCAAATCTAATATACAATTTACGATCGGGCAACATATTAAAAATTTAAATTAATTTCAAACTTTTTGACGAGTTTCGCTGCGAGCAGTGAGCGCAGCGACGGGGCGTATAATGAATATCCAATGACTGTCCAACTGCGACAGTGGGCGGTGGTCGGTAGGCGGTAGGCGGGCGGCAGATGCCGAGAGCTTTGCCATTTATTATGCGCTCTGTTGTCGCTTTGGCTTTAGCTGTTTTAGATTTGCGTTGCCATTTTTTTAATAAAGTTGAAACAATATTTCACACAAACACACACACACACACGCACACTCACACACATATTTATTCTTAAACGGTGTTTCATAGGCAGCTTCTGCCTCGAGCGCTGCGTCAAAAACTGTTCTTGAAGCATTTATGTCAAATTTATGTTAATATATTTTACAATCGTCGCTCCACCCAGGCCCATGCCCATGTCCATGTCACATCAGCGTGTGTGTGTGTGCGTTGTCTTTGAGAGTCTCAAAATCTGCATAAATTTTCTAGCTGCTCTAGCTGGCATTTCTTATCAGCAGCATTGGGCAAGTTTCTTGTTGGCGTCGCATGTGTCTTGGGTAAATAGAGTCATAAAAATTGCCGCTGACGCTCAAACAAAAACAAGAACAGAAACCTGAAGAGACATGAGAAAAAAACAAAGCAAAATGGGAAGCAAACTTGCTGATACACGCTACAACAACAGCGAGCAGCTCCGGCTCAGTTGCCTGGGTAACATGAGCCGTGTCCTTTGGCCCTAGAGCTGCTGCTGGCCAGAAAGTCGCTCGCATGTGGCACACCGCTGACGACTCGAAGGCGACACTTTGCCACACACGCACACATAAACACACACACACACACACACATACATATATATGCACTGTCACACTTGTGCTTGCAAATCAAAGCCTTAAAGTTGCTTACGTGAAAAATCTAAACGATTCTGCGTGCGTCTT